GCCTTATGCCATTTAGTGAACCGATTCTGCTTTTGATCAGTGGGTTTCGAACCCGGGATCTTTGACTTGTGGTGCGCGCTCTTTACCGCTGTGCTACCACGTCCCACGGGAGGCGGAGGGTCAGCTGCCTGATGACTCTACCAGCGCCCCTTGGCCACGCCTCTTGAGCTAGTTATGAAATTTACAATCGGATTCGGAGAATTACTATTGTGTGCTCAAAATCAACACTTAAGATTCGCAATTTTCAGAACATGGTTTGAAAATTACCAACAATTGTCAATTTTACGAAATTGTTTCGAATTTTCGCATCAAGTTCTGAAAATTGCAATGTTTGTAAATTTCATATCCGTGTTCGGAAAATTGTCATCAAAATTGCTTTGAAAATTCATAATTTTTTTAACAGTGGGGTTCAAAGTCGGCCGTCGCTGGACCAACGCGAGTCTAAATATCCTCGCATTGACAGTGTGCCGACAATGCTGGGGAATCGATTCAGTGCACGCTCTGGACTACTTTTCCTACTGAAACCGTAAAGCACTGTGCTTCGCCATTCCTTTTGCCCGCTGTGCACTCGATGGCCCGACCGTGCTCGCCTGCGCCGTGCCGGCCGTGCCCCTTTCCTTCATAATCGCGAAACACCACAGCGATTCCGCCTCCGCCATATTTTTCAATCTCCCCCGTGAAACTTCTCCGCTCCCTCTCCATCACGAAGCGTCGACGTCCCTCCCTGTTGCGCCTAGGGCAGCCTAGGGCCGGCTAGGGCCTGCGGTGCACGGCGGCACAGGCGAGGAAAAAACTTCCAGTTTTGGCCGGGCTTCTGTAAGATTTTTTTTTTTATTTAGCAGAAAAAAAATTGCTAACTAGGGGTACGCGCCGTTTTGTTTGGACGCGTAGTAGGCGAGCGATGCGTCTGTATTCTTGCAGAAGATGGTGAAGAATATATGCAAAGTAAGGCCAATACAGGGTCTTCCGCAATGAAAGGGCCGGATGTCATTTTCGTGATTATCTTACTGAAAACTGCAGGAAACAATGTGAAACTCAATTTTAAAATTTCGGTCACAAATTAGTAAATTTTGGGGAAAGTAAAGGTCTGGGATGAAATTGGAAGTCATTTTCGTGATCAGCACACCAAAAACTGCAGGAAACTATGTAAAACACAATGTAAAAATTTTGGGTCCAAAATTGGTAAATTTTTGGGAAAAATAAAGGTCTCAGATGAAATTGGAAGTCATTTTCGTGATCAGCACCCCAAAAAACTGCAGGAAACTATGTAAAACTCGATGAAAAAATTTTGGTCCAAAATTTGGTAAATATTTGGGAAAGTAAAGGTCTGAGATAAAATTTGGAAGTCATTTTCGTGATCAGCACACCAAAAACTGCACGAAACTATGAAAACACAATGAAAAAATTTTGGCCCAAAAATTTGGAAAATTTTTGGGAAAAGAAAAGGTCTGAGATGAAATTGGAGGTCATTTTCGTGATCAGCACCCCAAAAAACTGCAGGAAACTATGTAAAACTGGGATGAAAAAATTTTGGTCCAAAATTGGTAAATTTTTGGGAAAAGAAAAGGTCTGAGATGAAATTGGAAGTCATTTTTGTGATCAGCACACCAAATACTGCAGGATGCAATGAAACACCGGGGAAAATTTTTGGTCCAAAATCATGTTATTCTAGTTGAAAGTAGGGGTTTTTCAGTTTTTGGGTTTTTTTTAAGAGTGTTTCCTGTTCATGGTGTCATGCCATGAACCCTGACCCTATTACTCAGTCGAGTAACATTTAACAGCCAGCATTGAATTGCTTAATACGATTCACAAATACTTCAATTACCATTCGATATCTCCTTGTTACTGAATTATGAATACGCAATGTTATTAGTAATACCTAAAAAGCCTTTCTCCCTTTTAGTTTAAACTAGTGGATTAAACTACAGTATTTGATTTATCTGCATTAATTAAAAAGAGACATATTCACAGGCAGTCTGATTGCAACTACTTTACGGAGAAGACCTTCTGTCAGATCCAATGAATCGTTTCATAGAATCCAATGTCGAGGCCACTTATTGCTAAACGCAAGTTTTCTTATTCATAATGATAGTCATGTGGTTATTTAATCTTTGAAACATTTAGCAAAAGTATTTACCTAACATTCTGAGTAAATTAAAAAGAGAGAAAACTCAAACCATGACCAACAAAAAATTACCAGTTGTCGCAGACAATGTATGATTAAGTTAAAAGAAACGTCTCATGAAAACATATGACCAAGTCAGTGAATCGTTTTATTGAATCTGATGTCAATGTCAAACCTTGAATGCGCTACACTCACTCATCATATGGGTTTTTTTTAAGGTTAGTACTATAGTAAACTCACAGCATTGCAATGAAGCCTTTTCCCCGAATCAGTGCCAAGAGTCAGCAAAGACTATTTATTTTGGCAAATTAGTATCAGGGTTTTTACTTATAGAATGTATTAATATATTTTCTAACTGTTATTGAGCAAAACAAACAACTAAAAAATAATGTCTGAGAATAAAAAAGGAAAAACATCTCAAAGCTTACAAAGACCAAATCATTCTTGCAATTTTCAAAACACACACACTCCACTGACTGAAACATTTCCCCTGTAGCGGTGTAGCGGGGGAGGGGAGGGGGCGGACGGACGGACGAAACGCGTAATAATTGTCACTTTCATTTTCCGTATTTCACTGAGTTGACACTCCGGAGGGGTTTCAATCATTCTAAAAATCGAAAAACTATGACCGTACTCACTTCTAAGCCCTTCTGCTCTTTAGTTTGTTTTATTTGCCAATGTTTTGCCAGGTCCCGTATTTGAGAGTCGCGGCCGCAAGTATGAAAAAATTTCTACGAGCTGCCAACCACTGCCAACCTAACCACGCTAAGAACCTAATTCAAAAAAATGTTTTGAATATTTCAAACAATAGTAATCGTGAATATAAGATAAACTCCCCCTGGGGGAGATTTAGGAGCCTTCCGGTGCAAAATTTTGAAACTATTTGGCGGTAGTTGCTGAGAAACGTGAGGTGATTACTACAGAGGGACAGACGCACGACCCGTCACTTTTTTGGGGCCCCCCAAAAAACGGGATGGGCTCGCTATCGCTCGCCAATAAATTTAATTTTATTGATTGGTAAACGGTGATGGTCTGTGAAAATGATTGCAGAGTCATAGAAAGTTGGGGCTTCGAGTTTCCCGCGATGCGAGGGTTGACAGTGACCTGCATTCCCAGTGGTGGGGTTCGTGCCCGCATTTAATTATATCTGTCTGACCATCTCTCCTCCAGACGGCACGACGAGAGACGCCGGCGCGGCCTTGGCCTGCACTCGAAGAGGCTGCTTATAGCGCACTTCCGGGCGAGTGCCCACACTACCGGCTGAGCCCAGTCTAGCGGCGTGCCAAGATCAAGGCGTCAACTTTGGAGGCCCGATTCGTAGAGGCCGCATTCACAACGGCTTAGCTCCGCGCAACAAGTTTGAGCGGCACAAGTGGCGCTCTGCGTTGTAGTCACACCCAGTAGACGCACTGCTAGCGAGCAGCAACGGCCTTGCCTGGACATGGAGGCGACGGAGTGTATTGCATCGCATGCCGGCGAACGACGGCGAACGAATTCCAGTGTCGGGGCATGCCGCACTGCCACTTCCGCGCAGTTCCAGTGCCGGCCGTGCCGCGCTGGTTGCCCCACTGGCTGCCCCACTGGCCGCCCCGAAAAGGATAAAAATAAGTTTCTACGGCCCCTAAAACGGAGTGACCTACACACCGCCTGCCCGCAATGTCGCTGCGTTCCGCTTGCTTCCGTTCCACCGCCTTGTCTTGGCCGCCAAAACGGCCCGGAAGATGCCACAAAAACACGCAGCGCTGTGTGGCGGCGCCGCGACTGCATGCTTGCCGCGAACCGCCCTTGTTGTGCGCCGGATGATGCACTTCCCGCGACTTTCCTCGAGAAATTAAACATTCCCGCCATTCTTAGCTTGCCTCGGGAGTCGTGCGGGTTGCCTGCCCATACTCTCGCAGGCGCCGTCTCTTCTTCTTCTTCTTCTTCTTCTTCTTCTTCTTCTTCTTCTTCTTCCCTACTTCGCGTGCAGGGTGATGTGGATAGAACATGGCGTTCTCCGCCGCTGTCGACCTGCTGGCACCGGGGTGCATGTGTGTGACAAGAAAGCAAACTTGTCTGGGGGCAACAGGCCAGCAGGGGAAGGCCATCGGCGGGTAGGCCGAGCTGGCAATGGTGAGGGGTGGGGAGGGGGGAGGGGGTAAGCGAGGCTAGGGGTCGGGCGGCCGATGGCCAATACGATGCACCTGTGGCCTGGCGTGGCCCCCCTTCCCCCCCTCCTGATCTATCCTTCCAAACCACCTTATGCACCCTCTCCAGCCTTCCCCCGTCCCCCTGATCCCGCCGTACCGATACCACCGCCTCCCCACTGGCCTATAACTCGCATCCCTCCCAATAGACGCGGCCGACGCGGGGCCCAGCTGTGTCCGCGGCAATTTGTTTAGAGTCGTCGCATAAAGTGCACACACATTCGACTCCGTGTGTGTGCGCGTGTGTGACGGGGGAGAGGAGTTGATGTAGAGTTATACGGACACGTGAAGGGTGATAGAATATGGGAACCCTGTGTGTGTGCGTCTAAGGTGTGTGTGTGTGTGTGTGTGTGTGTGTGTGTGTGTGTGTGTGTGTGTGTGTGTGTGTGTGTATGAGTTCGCGTGTGTGTGTGTCGCTGTGTGTGTGCGTGTAATTGGACGAGACCGCTGCCACAAGGCCCGCCAGTACTCTCTCTCTTCCCCCTCTCTCTCCCTCCAAGGCGCACCACCTCGGTGACGGAGGATAACCACGCGAGCAAGCTATCTCTCTCTCGCCCAGTTCAACAGAGATTTCAACTCACGATAAAGAGTGTGCAGAGGCTCCAATACTGTCCCTCTCGTTTCCCACGCGTTTTCAAGTCATTTCCACGGCTAGTGCTTTGACAGTGTGGCTCTGTTTTTCTGCGCAGCACACACGGCGCGCTGCATCACGGTGCGGCTGGAGGCCCCGCAGTGGGTGCCGCTGGGCGGGCAGGCGCTGCTGCGCTGCCGCTACTCCGTGCAGTTCACGGACCTGCACATGGTGGCGTGGTTCCGGGACATGAAGAAGATCTTCACGTTCATCAAGGGCAGGCGGCCGGCCTTCACCAACCACACCGTGCCCGGCGCCGAGATCGATGTGAGTCTTTCCAGCTAATTCAGGACAACTTGGTGAAAAACGTTCTTCTGCACATTTGTTTCAAAAACACAGTGGTGTCATTGTTGGCAGAAATTTGCATCGATTTTCGTTTTTGCCCCCTGCTCTTACCCTTTCTTCCGATGCCAGCCCTCTAGTCTGGCCACTCCAATCCGGCCCTGCAGTGTGCGTGTTTCGGCGTGTTCCCGGTGGTCTGCGGCATGTGCTCCGAGTGCGGTCCGGGGCACGTCCCCGATTAACCCATTGTCAAATATGCAGTCCAGTCCGTTCTGGGACGAGGGGACCCCGCCAGGCCCCGCCAGGCCCCGCCTGGCCCCACCAGACCGACGTGCCCCACCAGTGGTTGCAGTGGGGTGCAAGCATTATGGGGCTGGCTCGCTGGCTCGGGCATCAACCATTCCTTCACACGCCCGACACGCTAGCAGTGCAGTCGGCGTCCTTTACAAATGGAAATTGTCTCTTCATCGACCCGTCGCGGAACGGACTGCACGTTGAAGCTCCGCTGTCTCCGCACTTTTGCCAAAAAAAATTGTTGGAGTTTAGCTATTTTTGTAAGTAACCTGTCATAAACCTGAAGCAGAACTGTTTAAAGTTACATCAGTTTCGTGCCTCTGACGTTCACCCACTGATGTACGGGCTCGCCCTCTCTGAAATCCGTTTTATTTTTCATTGGGTCTGACCTTGAAGTGGCACATTTTACGGCGTATAAAAGCCCCACGCCAAGACTCCAGCTCTTTTCCCTTCTGAGGGGTCTCGCCGCAGCGCTATAAAATAAAACAAAAAAAAAAGACAGCGGCTTAGTATTTGAACCCGGCACGATTGCAGTTTATCCATTTCGTTAAGGTGCGGAAACAGCGGCAGCCGTGGCGCCCGCATAATAATTTGCGGGGAAACTGGATTAAGTGGGACAAAATGGGGTCGAGAGGCAAGGCGGAGTCGGGCGGGCGGGGCGGGCGGGGCGGGGCGGGGCGGGGCGGGGCGGGCGGGCGGGGCGGGGCGGGGCAGGCGAGGCGGGGCGGGGCGGGTCGTGAATCACCCGGTAGGCTTGGCTCCGCACACGCCGTGGCCCCGGACAGCGGACCGCCCGTCCTATGGTGGTCAGTGGCGGGTCGTGTCCTGAACGGATGGGGCCCCGACCACAGCCAAAGTGAGTACCAGTCGAGGGGAGGGGGAGGGGGCGAGCAGAGCCCGTGTTCATTTGTGGGAAACAACAACTTTCCGCAGGACTGGGTTAAACTACTGTCTTGATTTTTTTTCGGGTCTCCTAAACTAAAGTAACTTTTTCATTTTTTTTTAACTTATCAAATTTTTCACATTTTAAGCGGGGTGAAGGGGGACGCGGCGCCCCTCCTCGGCGGTGTGGCCCACAGAGGACGCCTCACGCAGGCTACGCACCACCGCCGAGAAGCGAGGGCGTCGCGAAGCGTCGCGGGGGCGTCGTCGCGGGGGCGTCGTCGCGGGGGCGTCGTCGCGGGGGCGTCGTCGCGGGGGTCGTCGCGGGGGCGTCGTCGCGGGGGCGTCGTCGCGGGGGCGTCGTCGCGGGGCGTCGTCGCGGGGGCGTCGTCGCGGGGGCGTCGTCGCGGGGGTGGCTTCGCGGGGGCGGCGCTGGGGTCGAAGGTCATGCTGGGTCGGGCAGTGTGCTTCTGCCAGCGAGGGCGGTGGCCCCACCTGGCCGTCTCAGGCTAACGGTCCAGAAAGTTGCTCGTCTGCAGCAAGAATTTTTTTCCGCTACCGCCGAGACCCGGAACCCTCGACAAGGCCCTGCACAGTGGGTCAGAAGACCGTCGGAGGCAGCCGAATTCTAGCCTACTTTTGAGCTCCGGAGTCGCTAAACAGGACTCGAGTCGAACGTGTGATCCCACCAATGGATTGGTCTCAGAACGAGGAATCCATTGGTGGGGTCACACGTTTGGTTAGAGTCCTGTTTAGCGACTCTAGAGCTGCAAACGCGTGTAGAGTTTTGGCCACCTCAAGCGGCCTTCTGGCCCACTGTGCCCTGCCGCCTCACGCGCGCACACGCCCACTTGAGAATCGAGATAATCGAAACAGAGCGGCAAACCCAACGACTGGCACTAATTGCCTCGATTCGATTGGCTCAAAGCTTGCGAGAGAGAGAGAGAGAGAGAGAGAGAGAGAGGGGAGAGAGAGAGAGAGAGAGGAGAGAGAGAGATGGGACCCCCTCCCACGGCGGCAGTGTGTTACGTCAAGAAGCATTAGGCCGCCAAAAAATTCTTTTGCTGGAATTAAACATTTTCGGTGAGCTGCCTGCTTGGCGGGCGCGTGAGGGAGATGCAGTGTGTGAGTGCGTGGGAGAGAGACGTAGTGTGTGTGAGTAGGTGTGTGTGCGTTTGTCTGCGTGGGTAGGCCGTAATTAGAGGCCGTATGGCACGCGGTCTGGACACCGAATCCCCGCCCCTATAGCGACCCCCCCCCCCCACCCACCCTCTCCGTGTGCAAAAAGGCGGGGGCCACCCCATATTTTGTAAACTGGCGCTCTAACCTCCGCGAGCGTCGCCGTGCGCTAGGGGTAAATGAAAAAGAGATGGAGGGGGCGGCTAGATTTATCCCCGTCGTTTATTCCGACACTCGGTCACTGTGTGTGTGTGTGTGTGTGTGTGTGTGTGTGTGTGTGTGTGTGTGTGTGTGTGTGGGAGTGTGAGTGTCGCGTTAGGGACGTGGCATGGAAGCCCCACAGGCGGGGCGGACTGAATTTGAAAACGCGATACGTCCACGAAGCAGCGAAGAGGCGGTAGCACTGAGATTGCGGTGCCTTCAGTCCGTCGCTGGCCGTCGCTTGCACACAGTGTATGGTGCTGCTGGGTGTTTGCGCCCCGCCCCGCCCCGCCCCGCCCCGCCCCGCCCCGCCACGCCACGCTCGCAACCGGAATGCCAATAATTTTTTCAGCGCTGCTCGCCATGGCCACAATGCGCGAGTACGAACATCTGCGACTACCCACGCAGCCTTAAACGGCCATTTGTTTATGAGCCCCCGCGCGTTGCGCCCGCCGCACCCCGCCCCGCCACACCCCGCCGCACCCCGCCTCGCCCCGACACGCAGCCTGCATTCGCAATGGTGCGCGGTACTTCTTGTCGCAATTGGTTTCGCGTTACAAATGTCTGCCATAGCGCCTCTTTTTTTTCCGTTTTTGTTTATGTTTTTTTGTTTGAGGCGGCCCCGGGGGGGCAGAAGTACGTACCGCTGCGCGCCTCTTTGCGACTACACTGCCGCCAACCTAAAGCGAATTTCAGCAGTATGTTGGGCGGGAAAGCAATAGCATTGTTGTTGCTGTGCTCGAGGTCAGTTCGGAGCTGCGGCGGAAAACCTGCCCGAGGCGGCTCCTCCCCCAACTTGCATTTCCTCTTCCAACGTCCCCTCCAGTCCACAGTGGGCCAGAAGACCGGTGGAGGCGGACAAAATTCTAGACGCGTTTTGGCCTGCAGAGTCGCTAAATGGGACCTGAACCGAACGTGTGACCCCACCAATGGATTGCTCACCAAACGAGGAATCCATTGGTGGGGTCACCACGTTCGATTCATGCCCTGTTTAGCGACTCTGGGGCGTCGAGAACTTTGGCCGCCTGTGCCGGTCTTCTGGCCCACTGTGCAGTCTGCCCGGCCTTTGCCGGTCCAGACGTCGGGACGTCGACCGGTAGTCACTAATTACCAACTTGACAAGCGAAGCCAGCGAAGCAAGCGAAGGGGCCCTTCGGAAAATGGCCGAGGCGTCGCATTCGTAATGCTATTGCCGTCCAGGCTGGTGTCCAGACTGCCTTGTTTTCCTCCTCCCCCTTCTCTCTCTCTCCCTCTCTCTCCCTCTCTCTCTCTCTCTCTCTCTCTCTCTCTCTCTCTCTCTCTCTCTCTCTCTCTCTCTCTCTCTCTCTCTAATAAGCGAGTTTCATACCAAGGCAGGCGCGGCGAGGCGTGTGCCCCGTCGAAATTAAAAACAGCTCTGAGGGGCGTCAGGAAGGCGGTGAGGGAAAGGGTCCGGCCCGCTCGAATACGGCGGCGCGCGCGTCCCGGGACGAGGGAGGGAGACAGGGAGGAGACACGGAAAGGGTTGTAAAACCCTACACTTTGTCTCGTGAACGTGTTTTGCTGGCAAGTGGTCTCGCTCGGGGTTCGTCCTTGAATCGGCGGACGGTCCTCCACGCCGTCTCTCATCACTGCTAAATGCACGAAGCCACCCTGGAGGCTATGGCTGACTTGTTGCCCCCCTCCACGTCCCCCCGGAGCTCCTCAGCTGCACACACGGCCGTCCTATCGCCCCGCCGGGGAATCCAATTGTACCTAATGACGTGCATGCCGAGGCCAGATTCAGGCTTCGACCGCCCCGTCGTGTCGCTGTGTGCGTGTGAGAGGGAGAGAGGGAGGAAGCTCAAGTTTGTCTGCAGGCCGGCCAGGGTTAGCATTCCGGATGTAAGTGGAGTGGATTCCAAACATAACAACAGGTTTTTTTACCCCCCCCCCCCTCTCTCTCAGGGGCAGCCAGACTGGATGAGGCTAGCAAGGGACCACGTAAGGCGGGACTCCCTCCTCTTCCCCCCTCTCTACCTTGGCTCTCACTCTCTCTCTCCTCTTCTACCCTCTCTCTCTCTGCCCCGAAAAAGGAGAAAGAGTGACGTCGTTTGCGCGCGATCACTAATGAGCCCGTCATTCTAAGCGGCCTACTTCGGACTGAGTTGCCGGCCCGGCAGCCACAGGAAGGATGCTGTGGGAGGTGCAATGGGGGGAGGGAGGGGGAGTCGATTCCCCCGCTTGTTGAGTGGAGCCGATTGCAGACTCGGCCCCACGGTGGCCACTACAAATAATTGAGTTGTTGTTGAGTCTGGAGGAGTCCCCTCCCCCCGGCCCCGGCCTGCGAGTTGGTCCGGCCTGCCGGCCTGCCCGCCTGCCCGGCGTGAAAGCGAAAGTGAATTAGTATTTTCGTCTGAGAGTCCATAATGGCTGCTCATTGCGGTTCGGCAGGGCTTTTCACCGGTGTA